AGAGAGTGGGTTCTCAAAGCTGGAGACTGCTGTGTCTGAGATAAATACCAGAGCAATGTCAATAGTTACAACTACGTCACAATAAACTGACATGCTTATAGACCACCAGTGCATTCTGTACTTAAAACTGACAGTCCACCACATCCTCTTAATCTTTCAACATTACTAAGATGACACTGTATTTTATTTAAATATGAAACCAAGGACAAAAACAATAATCCAACGAAAAGGAATAAGGAGGTTTATTTAGAATGAGCTCTACCACTACACTATAAAACAGAAGTATTTTTCATCTTGCAAACAGTTTTGGGTAGTTACCTGTCGTAGCTGTGTCAAATCAGATTTGTTTCCAACTAGAACTACAGGAGTGTCATCAGTGCGCCGAACACGGTAGATGAGCTGTTTGAACTCACGCGCTTCATGGAAACTGCGGCGGTCTGTGATTGAATAACAGATGATAAATCCCTCGCCTGCTCTCATGTACTGGTCTCTCATGGCTGTAAACTCTGCCTAGAAATAAACAGTAACATTTCAATTCCTGCACAAGTACAGCGGCTACTGATTTGCTGATCAATGGCAGAGTCCTAACCATTCTAGTAACAATGATATAACAACTTCACAAAGTGTTACCTTTCTGCTCTATATGCGGGACCAAATATGCGCCTGTGGGATAAATAGACAAGGTAGCTGAAAGGCACAAGTTTTTGTAACTGCAGACAGAGGATCTGGAAACTTGGAGTATCTCTTAGCATCTCACTCAAAATATAAAGAACAATGTAACAGTGGAGAAGAAAGAACAAAGCAGAACACAAAACAAATAGCTGTTTCATGGCTACCAACACATGAAATAGGTTGGAGAGACAGAATAACTCAAAAGACAATATAACAGAAAAATTAAAGAAAAGATGCATAGACACACATTAAGTATATGTGCACAACCCTATCATTATTTCCATCCTATTATTAGTCTCCACCTTATTATCCTTATTGCACACATACCTGTCCTGCTGTATCCAGGATGTCCAAATTTGCAGGTTCATCATCAATGCGTATTCGTATTTTGTAAGCATCCTCTGTGGATTTAGGGCAAACAGGAGGCACGGAGAGAGGGGAGGGAATAAAAGTCTAAATAAGACTATAGCATTTATAACCACACATACAAAAAAAATACTACATTGTTGTACTTAACACTTTACCTGTTGAAATCACTGTATAACTGATAGATGGAATGTTTAAACTACCAATACTCAGAGCTACTGCAGTTTAATTTGTCTTACCTATGCAGACATTTACTTTGACAAATCCTTTGTAATAGTATATGCTATTCCTGATAAATGAGATAAAATGTGTGATAATTTAAGATTTCAGTTTTGTGCATCTTAACAGGAACCAAAAAGAATAAAAGAAAGGAGTATTTTATTTCTCTGACACTTGTCGGCATTTTCTAACTTTGAGGGGAGAGAGCAGACAAATCACAGAAAAGAACCACAATGGCAGCCATAAGAATTGTTGCCAACTCTTTGAAATCAAAGAAAGATCAAATATTTCCCTTCAAAGTAAGGTGACCATACATCCCAGCTTGGCCAGGACAGTGGGATTCCATATGCCGGTCCTAGCCAGTTGGTCAAAAGTCCCAGGCCAGAGTTCAGTGGGGATGTGGAATGGAATGGCATGGCATGGCAGGCAGGCACCACTGCTGCTGTGCAAGAGCAGGAACATGCCATGTGCAGGCAGGGTGGCAGGCAGGAAAGGGGCAACCAGAGTAAGGTGTCAAAACAGGACCAACTAATACCACTTTGTTTCCAACTGAAGACAGCATCAGACTCTGGTCCATGACTATGACTCTCAAGTAACAGAAATAACACCCTGAAGGACTTGTGTTGTACTGCTAGTAGTTCTGCATATTTCCTTTGCTAAAGAGGTAAAAGTCTCTGTGTGTGGGAAGTGGATATAGCCTTAAGAAGGGCAGATTTAATCTAACCACAATATTATCTAGCACAATCACCATTTTTCACATTTCCTGAACAGGAATTAATTCTAAGAGCTATAATGTTACCTTGGACCTCAGTACAGCTTGATTTTTTAAAACTTTTATGCCTCTAGGCCAACATAGTACATCCCATTCCTTATAAGGAAAGTTAAAAATATCTCCAAGCAACCTGCCACATTGGCTTTTACATCAATGGGTGAAAAGTGAATGTACTGGTAAGGAAAAAACTGGGGAGGTTGTGGAGAAAACACAGGACAGCATAATTATACTGCATATGCAGAGGCATCACATCATTGGAGAGGGAGGACTTCTATCAGCTCTATCTGTGTGACACAGGCCTATTTGATGTGCCAAGAGAAGATCATGGGCTATTTGCCCATCAGGGAATCTAAGCCCCCCTTAATAAGGGAGGCCACTGCAGACGTATCAGCTGACTGCTCGGGACAACAAAAAAGAAAACAGGAACAGGAGTGAGGCCATAGGTTAATAACTAGGTTCATAACGGAAGGGGACACTGAACAGAGCACACCGGCCAACATCCACTGCCCCCTGAAGGAGTCAAGGGAGCCTGTGGACACTAACCAGTGAAACTCTGTCGGGATATGTGAGTGGAGGAGTGCTAGGAAAGCAGCCCTGCACTCGCCCAGGCTCCTCTGGGGAAGAGCTTCCTTCCTGGTCTTATAGATGGCCAGCTTGGGCAGAGCCAGGAGGCTGACCAGAAGGTCCCTGGACTTAGTGGGGTTGTGGACAGGAAGTCCATAAAAGAAATGGTGCAGGAAGCCAGAACCTCAGCAGGAGGTTTTGGAGGAGGGGCTGTAACCTGGCACCCTCAGGCTAGGCATGTGCCAGGGTCTCCCTCTGTAGGCAGAAGGGGCAGGTGCTGGGTGTGTCCGTAAAGCGCACCAGATACATGCCCATGGAGATTGCTCTGTGGAGAAGCTGCCAGCTGAAGTCCTTTGTGGCTCATGGGATCAACGGAGAATACAGGCTAGTCCACCAGAGACCAATACCCCTGCTGAGAGTGCCCCACCACTTGTTGTTGGGGTGGGACGTGAGGACAGGATGATGGACGATATGGAGCGCAAACGTGTACAGCTGGTGGCAGCAGGCTGTTGAGAAGCAGACCAGCTTGGTGTCCCCCAGCCTGCTGAGGTGGTGGGGGAGCACCGTGAGGCCTGCAGAGGCATGAGCTCCAGCAGGCTGGGGGACATTGGGAGGTGCAGGACTTGGTCAATGTAGGCAAGGGCAGTGGGCAGCAGGGCAGCCTTTACCTCCTGGAGCATGCAGCATGGGCAGCTCCATGCGCCAGGCCAGTGCAGAGGGATCTACCCATCTCTGCCTAGCATAGTCCAGGAGGTCTCTGACGAGTGATGTGGGCCAGGACCAACCTCTGGCACTCCCAGGGCACCTCCGTCAGGGGCACTGCCAGCTGCAGGTTTTTCAGCACAGGTGCGGTAAGGTCAGCACCCTGGGCAACCATCCCTGTGGACCTGGAGGCAGAGACCAGCCTCCAGGTCCTGAGGTGCCAGTAGAAATCTGGCAGCTCCTCCAGGTCCTGCTTCAGGAAACCCCGTAGATAGAAGAACTGCCAGTCGTATCGGAAGCCCCGGAGGCGGCACAAGGTGCAGCCGATCAGACATGATGTTGCCTGGAGGAGGGGTGGTATATGTGAGGGGCTGGTACCACAAAACAACAAACAGGGACATGCACAGGAGGGAGTGGGAAAACAAGCTGCTGGCTTACTCAGTTGTATATGAACAGTGGGAGAGAGGGACTGGAGCACAGGACTCATCACAGAAGGACAAACTGGGGTGGCTTCTGGAACGGCTAGCAAGCAGGCAGCAGGTGGTGGTGCTGCCAGAGGGACCCCACTGGCATTGTGGGGTCCCATCTGGCTGTAGGTGGCAGCAGCAGCAGGTGGTGGCTGGTGTTGGTGAGGGAGGCCCCCATGAGAGAGGATGGGGACTGTACGTCCTGGAGAGGTGGTGACGGTGATAGGGAGAGCAGGAGCCTGTGGCAGCTTTTCAGGCTCCTGCTGCTCCCTGCCCAGCTCCAGCAGCAGCTGGGGAAGTGGTGGCGCCCCTGCTGCTCGCAGGAGACTAGGCAAAATGGACCTATGGTCCAACACAGTCGATGGCAAATCTTGTGTTCTGATTTACAGAGTGTTGTACTCAGGCCCGGTGAGCGAGTTACCAAAAACACCACGACAAAAGAAATGAGTTCACAGAACAGCAGCAGAAAAAATAAACATGAACAAAACAACAAACAGGCAAGAAGACTAATACTGGAAGCTATCTTGATGATGAAGGGGTGGAGAAAAGTAGTAAGATTTAGAAAACTGCAACCAATGCAAAGAATTATTTTGGATAGTATAAGTACTACCAAAGTAATAATATGAAATTAAGTAGTAAAAGTGTAGCAAGGATTATCTGGACTGAAAACTCTACTACAAAAAACCCCATGGGAAGTCTTGAAACTGCAATGTGTGGGGGAATAAAAACTACCCCGAACAAAACATAATATTTCTAACTTTGGAAAAAAATAAGAAAAACCCTGTATAATTACATAGGCTATTTCTTAACTTGGGCTTTTTGTTTTGTTTTGTTCAAGTTATGCCATCTGAGGTTTACATTATACACCAAACAGGACTTTGTTTAAAATAATACTGCAAAATTGGACAGAGCTCCAAATTAACAACACTTTTAAATGCACCGCTGGTGCCGTGAAATTCAACCACAATACAGCTAGCTCCCAACTCCCAAATATGCCTGACGCTGCTTTTTTCGTTTGTTTGTTTAAAATCGGTCGTTCCAGGATCAGCAGACGGGGCCTATGGTTTTGTCTAAAGATGAAAGAGAACTGGAGTGAAAAAATAATTTGGGATTATGCTGACACGTTTCCCTCTCCCTCTAAATTGCTTGTCTATTTATCAAAGGCAGAAATGCTGAAAGAAATAAAGGCACCGTCGGGTCTGCTCTGAATGCTAAAGCACGCAGCTGAGCACGTGCACGATCATCGAGGACTTCCTATTGTTATTCATGGATCAAAAACCATTTCTTTTAAACTCTGCCAGGATTCGTTAGGTGGGTCTCGTGCCAAGAATCGGATCCGAGTCAAGCAGGTAAAAATACCGATACGCCGCATCTAAACTCTCGGTCCTCTTTGCGGACCGCGACCTCGCGCAAGCCGGCCGGCTGCTAACGGCACGGCCCTGCCGCCCGCTCCTCCCAGTCCGGCTTTCGGGTCTCTTTGGGGGACAAGGTTCAGGCCAGCAGCTGCCCAGTCACCTGCAAGTCTCGAAGACACGTTTCTTACCGATGGTGGGGTCGTGGTCCTCTGGAAATCGGTGGCTGATGAACTGCATGGTCATGGCTGAAAGCGAGAACGAGAACACGGTCACGAACGAGGCGGCGCCTGCCCGCGCGCGGCCTGCTCCCGGGCGCACCGAGCCGGCCCCAGCCCGGCCCAACTTCGCCTCCCGCTCTTGGCCCC